TGAAGGAAAAAAAGCAGGTCTTATTTGCAAGAACACCTACTTTTCATGTTTCATTTAATCCTCTCGATCATACATTACCATATACATGCCCGACAGTTGTTGGGTCTCTCACTATCGGTCCACTGTCACGACGCTTGATCTTTCCTTTCTTTCCTCAACCCCTATGACAATTGAATTCCCACAGCCGTCCTTTCGGCTTTCATGCCCCCATGGTCTGTACTCCTCTGCAGTTTCCGCAACATCTCTGGGATCAACACCTTCTGCGCCTGACCGCTTTCCGAATTCTTGTCGTGCTCTTCCTTCAGCATGTCAAACAAGGTGCCATGGAGGGGCAAGGGCTGTTGGCGCAAGGGAGAGGAAGGAAGAAGACGAAAGGGATCATCAAACTGAAGGATTCCTCGACTAAACATCCCTTGTCCGACCACCGAAGGACGTGAGGATATGGCGAGGTGAGGAAGACAAGGGGAAAAGGGGGACCCACCTCGGTGAATTGAAACAGAGAACCGTCCCTGGCCACGAAGACATCTTCCTGTCCATAATTAACAGATGAATTGAGTGCGTCGCCTCCCAGACATCACTGTCCAGTGTCCCTTCGTGCACCGCATGAATAATTTATAGCTATGATAATAGTTATGGTTCGCTCAATTATCCAGGATCCGCCTCAGCTGTTACCTCACCTGCGATGCCGCCACACAGCTTTCCACCCGCCGCAAGTACTCCGCATGGTTTTCCTGCATCCTGTTCGTAGGCAACCACACAGCCATAATAATGATGTGATCGGTACGATGATTGCCCCAAAAAGAAGAGGAGATGGAGGAGGGTGACAGAGATCATGGGTGGCACAAAGACAGGGAAGAACTGAGTCGCAACTGAATGGAAAGGTCGTTCCCTGAGAGCTCACGAGGACATGATTGTTTTTCGAGAGGATGAAGACCAGAATGACTACCCCTTTGGGGCGGCCGCTACAAGTGGCACCAATACACAATTCCACTTTTTTTTTCTTATCCTCCATTCCTC